GGGTTTCTGAAGACAAAGAAATGGAGTGGGAGGCCATGTTCTTTACGTTATTTACATTTTTTACAGCTGGAGTACACCATCTTGTGTTCAAACAGCAGAAACCAGGCCGAAAGAGAAAGGCAGTGGCGGACAAAGCAAAAGGAAAAGAGAAAGAAAAGGGAAAGTAAAAGCAAAAGCAAGTGAGTGTGTCTGGAAGTGGAGAGATCAAGGAGGGAACAGAAAAGAAAAAGGGAGAATCATGGGGAACACATGGTGGGCAACACAAAAAGAGAAGAGAAAAAGGAAGGCTCCCTCGGGAGCACATAGCAAAGCTAAAAAAGAGAAGCAAAGCAGAAAAGCAATGGGGAACAAAGCATAAAAGAGAAAACAAAGAAAATGTAGCAGAAAAACACTGCAAAAAAAAAAAAAAAAAAAAAAAAAACAAGGAATAAAATACCCCATCAGAGGGTAATATGTATAAACCCATCAGAGGGTAAAAAAAAAAAACGGCAAAGCCCAAAGTAAATGGGCTGGAATGGTGTGTAGAGGGCGAAAACCCATAAGCCCAAAATAGTTCCAACCAGACGATCAAAAGTACGCCCAGTACTTCAAATCATACATGAACATTACTCATGTCAATCATACATAAACATTCATGAGCATCCCTCATATCAATCATACATAAACATTCATGAGCATCACTCATGTTAACATTCATGAGCATCACTCATGTTAAACATCCATGAGCATCACTCATGTCAATCAACATAAACATTCATGAGCATCACTCATGTCAATCAGCTTCAAAGACTTCATTTACAGAGCTCTAGCTTCAAAGACTTCATTTACAAGAGCTCTAGCTTCAAAGACTTCATTTACAAGAGCTCTAGCTTCAAAAGCTTCATTTACAAGAGCTCTAGCTTCAAAGACTTCATTTACAGAGCTCTAGATTCAAAAGCTTCATTTACAAAAGCTCCAGCTTCGAAAGCTTCATTTACAGAGCTCTAGCTTCAAAGCTTCACCTGCAAAGCTTCACCTACAAAGCTTCAGTGCAGGGTATACAAATACCGCATTCGAACAACCGCCACTTCGGCCCATACATGGATTCAATTTGAAGTCTCCAGCCAACAGACTCTATTGACTAAAGACTTGGGGGACTACATTATGTACCATATATTGGGCCTCAACTGGGCCTCATGAAAAATACTTGGGGGACTTAGCCCATCACTTATGTATTGAGGAGCGAGCCCTTATTTTATAAAAGAGACTCCCTCACCTTCAAACGCCACAAGCCAAGCCAACCAAGGCAACATAAGCTACAAGCAAAGCGGCCTCACAACATGTGCTACTTCTAGTTGAGCATCATTTCAGATTGGGCACCGCCTCATATCGAGCATCAGTTCTAGACGACATTTAGTTACTTCGGCCCACACATGGACTGAATTTCAAGTCTCCAGCCAAAAGACTCTCTTGACTGAAGACTTGGGGGACTACTGTTTATACCATATTTAGGGCCTCGTATATTTGGGCCTTGGGCCTTGTATTTGGGCCTCACACTAAAGCCCATACTTTGTAAAAGAGGAGGAGCCCCTTATTCTATAAAAGGGGACTCCTCCCCTCATTCTAGAGGAGGCAAAAGAGAAGTTCTCATTACATTCAGGAGAGACCTCACACCACCGAGGCTCTCCTCTCCCTTCTCTTTCTTTCTCTGGGGGACTTCCCCAAACACTTGTATCCATACAATTACAGAGAAACAGAATCAACTACAGTGTGGACGTAGCCCAAACATTGGGGTGAACCATGATAAAATCCTTGTGTTCTTTGTGTCATTTACATTTCATGCAGATTCACGGTCGGATTTACGTTGTTCCAAGACCATCCGGTTTTGTGCATCAACAACACTATTTGTGGCTGCCTCCTTCTGGAAGGAGAAGCCGGTACAGAATAATGACGAATTCCCTTAAACTGCCAAAAGAAACCTGGGAACGTTCTCCGCCTGCAATAGCCTCGATGTTGCAGGCTAGGGTTTTTGGGGTGGTTGTTGTGGAGCCAAACCAGCGCCGTGTGGAAGAATTCCCTTTCCCTTGTTCCATAGCGGTTTGCTAGGTTGCAAATGAGCTTGAGGGTAGTAAGGGAATCGTGGGACCAGGCCAGCGGGAGCAATGACTTCAGACATTTGTAAGGATCACAGGAGCCAAAGGGATCCGTCAAGGAATCGGAATACATATCTTCATGGTCGTCAAAAGGTTCATTAAAGGACTCCAAATACAGATCAACGCAGGGGTTGTCACCAAAGGATGAGGATGAGGTGGTGGCGGGTGGCGGTGGAAAGAGAAGCAATTCTTGCTGTGAGGTTTTTTTACTTGCTCTGACCACAACTGGGGAGAGGATTTTCCCAACTTTCACTGCGACTTTCATCATCATCATAAACGCACGCACGACAACAATTTGCCGATTCGATCTTCTGTTTAGGGTTTAGGGTAACCGGGGGCGGTAAACAATATGTAAACAAATCCAACTTTACTTTCGGTAGCCCTATATAAATAAATAAAGGCTTTTTTTAAGCTAAAATTGTCTTTGAGATTGATATAATTTCTTACTTTTGTCCTTTGGAGATTTGAAATCGATAAAAATAGTCTATGAATTTGTCTATCGTCAATCATTTTGGTCATTTCAAAAATCTATGTTAAATTAAGATCAAAATAACAAAAATATTCTTAATTTAATAAACAATGAGTTAAAATGATTTGACAAAATTGAGGGTATACTCAAGGGATATTTTGGATAAAAAAATCATAAATAAATAAATAATCCCCAAATGATAGAAATTCATGATTCTTACAATCTAAATTTCTGATATTTAGTGTCGAAGTGGCAGAAAGTATGTAGGAAATAATCACATTGATTATACAGATCTTCTTTCTGTTTGGAGAATGGCATCAACAAGCACGACCATAATGTCCAAGACTCCAACCCTTACTACAATTCCATTGGGAAAAATATGGAGAGGGAAAAAAGCAAAGTCTGGCATCCACATATCCACTGAAGACTCAAAGAGTTCGAATGACTTCCAAATTTCCAAATCACAGGTTTTGCAAATGTCAAGCACACGTACAATGTCAACATCAAATTTTAAGATTTGTCAATCACAAGATATTCGTGGGATAGATAAAGTGAATAGAAAAAAAAAGAAAAAAAGATCAAGAGTGACTTCAAGTTACACCTCCTACAGGAGACAAGCAAGCGTTTTCGGTAGCATTTGTAGACGTTGAAATTTTGTTGGTCGAAATTCAAAGTTTGACCATGTGACTAGTCATAATTGACTAGAACGAGTCGTGTGCCTACACAAAATACACGTGGCACATGATTCACCAAGGTAAAATGGGCCACCAGACGTGACACATGTCTTCATGAGGAGTTCCATTCAAATTAATGAGGCCAAATTCCAAAAAAGAGCAATTTAATTATCATTTGGTCAAAATTCCACTATTCCAAAAACTAAGATTTTGCACTACTATAAAATATCCAAATAACTAAAAAATTTCCAAAAATGCGTAGTGCTATTCATACACTCATTTTATTTTCACATATCTCTCAATTTTCGGCTGTCAGATCGAACGAATTGAAGTAGATCACACCCATTTGTACTTCTTACACATCCTCTCAACTTTCGACTGTCATATCAAATGAATTGAAGAAGACCATAACCATTTTTACATTTTTCATAGCCTGCTTCATTTTTGCTATCGAATCAAATAATTGAAGAAGAAAAACAATATAAAAAAAATTAACAAAAGTGTGAGAGGTCAAAATATGTGCGTATATTCACTTTGCTTCCGAAATATATATGCATTCTGGATTGTGGGAATTGGATCCGCTTTGGACTTTAATGTCCCGAGTCTAAGGATCAACTAATATGGGTTGCACAAATTGAATCCAACAGTCTTTATTAACTTATTTTCCTGACACACCACTCACAAGCCAACATCTTTAATTTATTTTACATACTAATCAACGGTCGATATGAATTGGGCTTCAGACACTAAGGTCCAGAGCGGATCCAATTCTCTAGATTGTGGACAAAGAAGGAAAGCAAGTAGTACCAACTGAAAACGGTTAAAAGAAGAAAATAAAAAGGACAGAAGAACAAAACAGGGACAAAGACAAAAGGCCAAAATAGAAACCAATCATTATCCCCCTTTTAATTCCGTAAATTTATGATTCTTTCCCCACAATAATCTCGTAACACTGTAAAAAATCTGGACAGATGAGAGAGAGAGAGAGAGAGAGAGAGAGAGAGAGCCAATAAACCGCTTTAGACGTTACCGACACTAGAGACAGATGAGAAGAAACCCCACAAACGCCAGCCGTTTGCTTGGAATCGGATCCAGCGGCCGTTGATGAGAGAGAGAGAGCAGAGCTTCCCACCAAGAATAAGTGCCTTCCCTTAATGCTCCTATCTGCTTCTTTTCAGATAAGCATTGTCGTATTCTCCACTCCTACTCCACGCGGCAGAAATAAACCATCTTTTGGTTTCTGGGTCTTCTACAATTTAAAGGGAATTCAGATATGTGATTATTTTTTTCCGCGAGTTTTACAGTTTTTTTTTTTTCTTGGGTTTTTCATGTTGTAGTCTTGGTGTGTAGGAAAAGGAAAGAGTGGGAACTGGAGAGGTGTTTTTGAATCGTAACTCGGTTTTTACAGTCTTGTTCTTGTGTAATAGTGTGGGATTTTGGGGTGGGTCTGAGATTCTGAGGGCGGATTTGAGATGGGTATTCTGAGTGCGATTTTGGGTTTTGTGGGTTTTGGAGTTGGAACTTCAACTGGGCTTGTGATCGGGTATTACGTCTTCATCTACTTCCTGCCAACTGATGATCGTCAAGGTCGGTTATTTTTTTTCTATTTGTTCGAATTATAACTATTAGTGGATTACTGCTCGGCTGATTGCTGATAATGTTTGTGTTTTGGTTCAACAAATGTCAATTTTTGTGATATATCTGATTTGTAATGAACCCAGAATCCTGCAATTCCGTCCATTGGTCGAGCAAGATTCGAAAACTCTGCAGAGGCTGCTTCCGGAGATACCCATGTGGGTGAAAAAAATCCAGACTACGATCGTGTATGTTCAATTTTCGAAATTTTAGTTTTTGCAAATTGATTTTCTTGAGTTGGTGTTACAAATGCCACCAGAGAAGCTTATCATGATTTTTGTTTCTGTGAAGGTTGACTGGCTCAACAAATTTATTGAGCTCATGTGGCCTTACCTGGACAAGGTAATGCATACATATTATAACAGTACTCGTATATTTTCCAGGGGTGTTTTGCTTGGTTGAATATCTCTTACTCTTTTGTACTGAGTATTGGTGGTGAATTTGTTTTTAGGCAATTTGCAAAACTGCGAGGACCATAGCAAAACCCATTATTGCTGAGCAAATTCCGAAATACAAAATTGACTCCGTCGAGTTTGAAGTGCTTTCCTTGGGCACCCTACCGCCAACTTTTCAAGGTTGAGTTGATCTTCTTACTTTCCCTCTCTTACACACACACAATTTTGGAGCTGCATTCTATTTTCACGATCCCACCCATCGGTTATATGCTACTTATCACTCTTTATTTTGTGTTGTTATTGTTAATTTCTTGACAGAGTATACTGTGAACAAGATGATATCCGCCTTAAAATTTCCATCTTATTTTATTTTAAAACTTTGTTCTGTTTTCCCCTGCTATGCAATACTCGTGCTGAGTACGCATTTCTTGTTTTTCTGCATATGGCAGGAATTAAAGTGTATGTTACCGGTGAGAAGGAATTGATAATGGAGCTACAACTGAAGTGGGCAGGAAATCCTAACATCCTTGTTGCAGCTAAAGCATTTGGTTTGAAAGCCACGGTTCAGGCATGTTCCATGAAGGAACTAGTATATTTAAAGTTCAGTATGTCTGCACACACACTACCCCAAGCGGTGGTCTGCCTATACCATGCACACACTTGAACTAATGCTTTGAATAAAAGTTAAGACGAGAGACTTATTACTGGATTTGAATGAAGCATTGATTCTTTGGATTGTTTCAGGTGGTTGATTTGCAAGTGTTTGCTTGTCCACGCATCACCCTGAAGCCTTTGGTTTCAGCCTTTCCTTGTTTTTCAAAAATTTTCGTGTCTCTGATGGAGAAGGTTTGGTACTGATTCCATTTTCATATTGCTTACATGCTTGATGATTGTATTACAGCAGAAAACTAGTTGGTAGTCAGGGACGTGGTATGTTTATATAACTACATTGATTTGGTATTCTGGTACCTGACAATCCAGAATCGGAAATGTGTTATATTTCATGTCATTTTCAGATGTACATTCTATATGACTTCAATTTAATTGAAAAAGGCTCAATTTTTGTAATTATGACCATTAGAGATGTATGCTGGGATTAGATGTCCATGACCACCCCCCTATAGACAACCTCAGAATTATAATTCTGTTGCGGTGTCTATAATGTGCCACGTCTCCCCCGTCTCCTTACTTCCATTTCATTTTCCTTTCTATTTTCCCTTCTCAGCTATCTTATTAATGATTTGCAGCCACATGTTGACTTTGGATTAAAACTGCTTGGAGCAGATGCTATGGCTATTCCTGGCCTGTATAGGTTTGTCCAGGTAGCATCTCTTACTTTTTGCAAAGGTTAAGCGATGATATGGTTTGTGTTTACATCGTATATGAAGGATGATTAGTATGTATGTTATACCAAGATGCATAGATTACTTATTTATAGAATATTCTACTTGAAACTTGAATTTCTCAACGCCATCTTGCTTCCTTTTGTTATTCTGTTTTGATTCATCAGGAGCTTATTAAAGAACAAGTGGCAAACATGTACTTATGGCCCAAAGCACTAGAAGTACAAATCATGGATCCCACAATGTATGTGTCATGTTGTTTTGTTTCGAGTAATTGTGTAACTTGGTTGTTGTGACCTAATAATTTTGTTTCATTCTGTCAGGGCTATGAGGAAGCCTGTTGGGATTTTGCATATAAAAGTTCTTAAAGCAATGAAGCTTAAAAAGAAAGATTTCTTAGGAGGAGCAGATCCATATGTGAAAATCAAGCTCACTGAGGACAAGCTTCCTTCAAAGAAAACAACTGTGAAACACGGCACTTTGGACCCTGAATGGAATGAAGAGTTTAATTTCGTAATCAGAGACCCAGAGACTCAAGCATTAGAGTTGATGGTTTATGATTGGGAAAAGGTATGTTTCTTTGTTTGGAAATGTGAAAGAAAGTAGATACGTCTTTTTTTTAGCATGATTTTGTTTTCTTTCCAGGATGGATAGAAATATACATAAGCGAGAAGCCAAATTGTACCCTTAGTTCTCTACATTTATGCGTATAATAATGTGGGTTTAATTTTTCTTAGATTGGCAAGCATGACAAAATGGGTATAAATGTCATTCCACTGAAAGAACTTACACCTGAAGAGCCTAAAGTTGTGACTCTTGACATACTGAAGAGCATGGACCCCAATGATGCTCAAAATGACAAGTCACGTGGACAGCTTCTTGTGGAATTGATCTATAAACCCTTTAAGGAGGATGAGATGCCTAAAGATGATGAAGATCCAAATGCTGTACAAAGGGCTCCTGAAGGAACACCTGCAGCTGGTGGTGCGCTTGTAGTTACCGTCCATGAAGCTGAAGATGTGGAAGGAAAGCACCACACTAACCCACAAGTGCGCATACTTTTCAGGGGCGAAGAGAAAAGAACCAAGGTACATAAGTCCCTCGTTGTCCTTGTCCTTTCTCCGTTTTTCCTCTTATTGTTTATAAACTATAGTTACTGCATGCTAAAGGCCCGTAGCAAGGAAAGGAGGCTGTTTTTTTTTAGTCGGAGACTCTTGCATTCTAAGTTAGTTGAAAGATGAGAAGAAATAGTAAAATCTTATTTTCTGTATATGTAAAAGAAATCAGTTTATTGGTGCTCATGCATGTGTAGGATAAGAACTTCTGATGAATATACGAATTTGTTCCCGAACTGTTATGCAAATGTCATTGGTTTTCCCTCCAGGATGCTGATACAATAAGAAACGATTGAATGTCATTCATTTTATGTGATCGTGGAATTTCAAAGTTTAACTTGGCTATAAACGTTTGTGTATGCTTACTTACAATCGCATTGGGAACTGACAGCTTGTCAAGAAAAATCGGGATCCACGATGGGAAGAGGAGTTTCAGTTTATATTGGAAGAGCCACCGAAAAAGGAGAGGCTTCATGCTGAAGTGGTTAGCCACTCCTCAAGGATGGGGCTGTTGCATCCCAAGGTAACACAACTGAAACACATTCAACTTATTTGGATTTGCGTTTTTTAAATAACCCTCGGGTGTTTTTTCCTTCCGATCAGGAAACTCTTGGATACGTGGACATAGACTTGGCGGATGTTGTTAGCAACAGAAGAATCAATGAGAAATACCATCTGATAGACTCGAAGAATGGACGGCTTCAACTCGAGCTGCAATGGA